TACCTAAGAATACTTCTAGTGATAGGCGACTATGATGAGGCTTATGATAGTACTCCATGTGCTCATTATGACAACAAAACAAAATAAGGTAAATAAATAAGTTTTTTTTTTCATGAACATGTTTTACTACATATTTTTAAAAGGATTATATTGTGTTCACAAATTAAATTGGAGAGCATCATGTCGATCTCCCGTATTTCAATACAAATCTTATAATCATTGAATCAAGATTGTAAATTAATAAACTAAACAAACATAACTATATTAAAAATTATAAAATATAAAAAAAATAATAAAATTACATTTATTCAAAATTCATATGGAGATAATTTATCATATTTCTTTATAATTATCATCTCTCATTTCATGTATATTTTCTTTATATGATTCAAGAAATCTTGACGAGAAAGTAGAAGTCTCTTACATATCAAAATTTTATTCATCAATGTCGTAATTAGCATTCATATTTTTTTTATTAAATATATTTGTAGTTCATAAACTTTTGTCAATTTTTATTTTCAGTCCCTAAACAAATATTCTCCTAACTTAGCCTATTAACTTTTGTTAATTTTCACTAACTTTTGAATGTTTTGTCCAATTAACATTCTCTGACGTAAAAAATTTGGTTAATGAAAAAAAAAATCTTAAAGACTAAAATCTAATAAAATTTGTTCAAAAACTAAATTAAAAATTGAGAAAAGTTTATAAAAAAAATCAAATTTAATATATTTTTCTTAGACTCCTACAAACTACCTTTTCATGTGTGAATTAATGGCACAAAATATTTTTTTTGTTTGTTCGTCATGATTAAGGGTTCTCGTTATAATTAGGGGTGACAATAAACTAATAACTAAAAAATAGTTCGAAATTTGATTTGATAATTATCTCATCAAATTAATTTATGAACCGAATGAACTGAACTTAAGCTAAAGATTGATCTCGATGAATAAATGAGTTAAACTTAAGTTGCTTATAATTTAGCTTTTTTAGTTCAAGAATTGATTTGACATTTAAGTATATAATTTGGATAATTAGTTTTCTATTTAATTTTAGCTTATTGAAATTTGAAAGGACTTTCAAAATTTAGTTATAAGTTAATAATAATAATAATAAAGTTAACACTTTAAAATTTATGAATATAGATTGAGATTTCTATTATTTATGCCGGATATAATACTATTTTTTTATCTATAAGACCTTGGTTGTAATTATGTTTTTTTGAAGTCATATCTAATCTTGTAAAGCTAATAAAATAAGTTTTGTTTTATCTTTTAAAAAAATTTAAACAATAATTTTATCTAAAATATATTATTAAATAAAATTTTTAAAATATATAAGATTAAAAAAAATGACTCTCAATTCATTCATGTGATTTTAGCTAACAAATTAAACCGAAGTACTAACAAACTGGAATTGAATCAAAATTAAAATAATAAAAAAATAATTCATATAAAACTCAAATCAAATTACAAGTTGTGTAAAATATTATCAAATTGAAATGTTTAGCTACAACTTTACGACTTACTAATATAAATATCAATTCATCTATTTATACATTAATATATTTATATTTTAAAACAAATACTATTAATATTATTAATTTAGTGTGGCCAATTTTTCATATCAATCTCTTCGATAACTCCAAAAATAAAATAAAAATGCCAATATTAGTTTTCAATTTAGCAAAATACATGGACTATCATAACTCCATTATTTTGGATAGAACTTTTTGTATTTTAGTCCTATCTATAGAATGAATGCTCATTGATATCATATATAATCCAACTAATTACCTCAAAAATAAGTCTTTGTGTGCTAGCCATTATACATTGTATCAAAAACAATACATTATCATTCTACACAATTTTATTTTTAAACCATGATAAAACAAAGAAGTCATTTATGCTTAGTCAACCACATTTTATTATTCAATCGAGGATATTTCCCCCTTAATTAACATGGTTTTAGTACATAAATAAGATTAAATTTTATGATTATTACTATTATTTAAAATGTGTAGAATACTTGATGAACTTCCTCATGATCCCATAAATTTCAGAGTTACCCTATATGTATCCTTTTATTCAACTTTTCTCTCCTGATAAAACTTTGGAAGTCCAACATAGCTTTTATTTCAACAGTACAAAACTAAAAAGTTTCTTTGACCAAATCACAGAAAAAATAAAATAAAATAACGCAAATATTAGCTTTTTCAGTCTGCGAAATTGGAAATTTGGTGTCCTTCTAGAACTCGAGACTTACGACTATATATTCCATTCGATGTATTATTACTACATTTTGTTCACGTGTAATTTACGAGTTTATAAAATATGTAAAGTTTTGTTATATCATTAATCATTTACGATTTAATAATAATAAAATTAGATACTTTTTATTTGTATTAGTATATATTTAAATAAATTTATTATTATTTAACTATAAACAGAAATATTCAATGATTTATCTAATAATTAGCATGATAAAACTTTAATTTAATATAAAATTATTATAAAATAAGTTCCTCAAATAATTTAAAAAACGATGATTTTATAAAATTATTATAAATCAAAATAACAATTAACTGTTTCTATACTTTTAAATGTTTGAAAGGGTCAATTTCACAAATATTTGAAGAATAAGTTAATATTTTAAAAAATTAAAAAATTATAGTCTTGAAAAATTCAAATATAATTATAAATATAAAAAATAAAGGAATAAAAATTAAAATGGTCAAGTAACATATAAAAGGAATATTAAAAAAGAAAGTATTAAATTAAAAATATTTATAAAAGGAAGAAGGCATGATGTAATTCTAGTAGAAGAAGCCCGATATTATATGTCAATTTGATTATGCGAATACAATGACTTTTCTTTTAACAATAGGAAATAAATTTGAACTGATTTATTATATACTTAAAGATTATATTATCAATACAAAGTTATAATATAATATAATTTAAAGAGAATTTATTTGATTGTGTTAATTAAAGTGAAGACTTTTGAGTCTCCACTGAGAAGAAAAATAAAAAAGAAAAAGGAAATCATTCTGTGAGAAGGTAGCTTTTGAATTTATTGTAATACATAATGGGTAAAGGGGAGATCAAGTTGGGGGTGAATTGAAATGATTAGATTGGTAATGTGATTTGAGGTCATAATTTGAGAACGTGCATTGAAGATCTAATTGGGAACATCAACATAATGCCACTTACTATTAATTCCCAAATTCACGGTTCAACCTATTTTTATTTTTCACTGCCTTGTTGTGCCAAGATAGAATATTCCTTTCATGCCATTTGAGTTAAGAGTTATAATAAATAAATATGATACGGTGTCTATGTCTAGTCATCACATATTATTGCTTCTCTCATGACCCTTATGACTACCATTAAATACACTTCCCTCCGCTATTAACGCACACTACACTACTACCAACCAAACCAAATAAATCTAACAAAAATGTCCTATGCTTTTGGGCTACTAGTTAAATAATTTTAAAACACTAAGTTTTTAAAATTGTATTTACACATTCACTTGTTTTTTTTTTTCTCTTTCTTTTTGTATGTAAGAAAAATCGAATTTAAGTCTTTTCACTTTTATGTTAACTTTCATATTTTCAACAACTAAGTTAATTCTAATGGTCTACATTCACCTGAATCTACTTATTATGACATTGATTAGTAAAATCCTAAATAATTTTATTATAATTTTTTAATGATTTTTTTGTACTTATTATGACATTGGTTAACAAGGTCCTAAATTTAAAAATAAAGATAAAAGTGGCAAGCCCACACCTTCAGTTTAGTAAAATAATCAAATTACAATTGCAACATTTATATGGATGAAAAAATAGTTTGAATAAACACCTCACTGAAAGTGATAATCAAATTATTGATTAAAGTTAATTATAAATAAAATTGATAGATATTTCACACCGTAATATTTCAAATTTTACTAGAGCAACTAATCTTTCTTCATAATGAATGTATGTTTAAGGGTGAGAATAAGTCATTTTTGGGAGATATTGAAGTAACAAGTTTGTGACTTCTAAATTTTCAAAAAAAAAAAAAAAATACATCGGTCTATCTTCTCACCACTAAATTAAACATCTTGTGAATCAATTCACTTAAAGATAAAATACTTCTAAATGTTTGGATTTCATTTCTAATGAAAAATTAATTATATTATCTTAGTTAAGAAGTGAAAATATCAAATTACTTGCATTACGTTAAATAGAAGTAACAAAATAGGTTAATTTGTTAGATCAACTTATTTTGATCAATTTTTTTATAAAGTTCCAACTCATTAACTCGTTTTGATTTGTCTCTCTTTTACTTGTCAAAAAATGAGTTGAAGATAGGTTAAGAGAGATCAACCCATCATCATGTTATTATTTAAAAAAAAAATTCCTATATTATAGTAATTAAGAGTAGTTAAGACAAAAAAAAAATACTTAAATTCCATCCTGTTGCGTCTTTATAATATTTCTTCCTGATATAAAAAAAACAAACAAACAAACTGGGGATCCGTAAATTCACGTGATTTACTACTCCTATTCTCCAACACCAAACAATATTATAGTACTCTTATTTATTTTATTGTATTATAACTCCTGATTATTTGAAATATATTACACTGAAACTTTTTGTTATACTTTAAAAAACCCATCATACAAAAAATTCTTATAAAAAACTTACTGTAAAATTGAAAAACATAGAAATATCATTTACAATTAAAAAAAAAAGAAAGTATATGAAGTATGAGTATTACAGTATCACTATAATTTGCTCAAAAGAATCACACAATGAGAACAGAAATGGCACAGATTTCTTGGTTGCTGAGGTAACAGTTGATTCAAACTTGAAAGACATTAACAATAATTACCCCTTTTGGTGGGTCAGTTTGACTGAATAGGTAGGGGCAAGGTGGGGACCAGTCCCACAATTATTCTATATTATTAGTTGTGATAAGGTCTGTTTCTTGGACCTCTGTATGTGGGTGTTCTTTCCTGTTTTTTCCAACTAAGATTGCACTTTTCCTCTTTCTCTGTCTTGTCTGTCACCCAGAAACTGCACCCTTAAATAAACTAACTTCCTCACTCTCCACTCCTCTTTTCTAACTCCCCAACTTTTATAAAATTTCCTTCACCCCCATCACTAATGCATTTCATAATGCTCCATTTCTCACTCACTTAGTTTCTTCTGCTGTCTCAAGGCTTTTGCAGCCAAAGAAGAAAAAAAATATAAATAAAAAGTATCCTACTTTCTGACACCATCTTTATGGCATTAGTGTTTAGTTAGTGCCTCAAAATGCTTGTCTTGTATTGGCCACAACTAAAGCCTCAAACTTTAATCTTCCCATCTTTGATTTTCTGTCACTTTGTTGAATTGAAGTTCCATTTTTGTAACTAACAACTGTTTGCCTCTTTCTTTGGTCTTTGGATTCTAAAGTTAGTTTCTTTCCATGAACGAAGGCCAAATTGAAATTACCATTCCTCACTTGTTCAGATGCCCCATCAGCTTGGACTTGTTCGAAGATCCTGTTACTTTGTGCACAGGCCAAACCTATGACAGATCAAGCATAGAGAAATGGTTTTCCGCAGGAAATCTCACATGCCCTGTCACAATGCAGAAGCTTCGTGATCCTTCCATTGTTCCCAACCACACTCTTCGCCACTTGATCGATCAGTGGCTCCAATTGGGTCACCAATTTCATCATCAAGGTAACTCTGCCACTATTGATTACTTAGCTTCACTAAAGCACACCCTTGAGTCTCCCCAATTGGAAAACAAGCTTCAAGCACTCGAGAAAATTAGAGCCCTCTCTGATGAGTATTGCTCCTTCAGAAAATCTTGCTTCCACCAACTCAGTTTCTTGCCCCTACTTTTGGAACTGGTTTTTGGCACTCACCTCTCGAAGTCTCACATGGAGTTCACTGAGTTAGCACTTTCTTGCATCCTAAAACTGCTTCCTCTTGTGAGCTTGGAGCCTTTGAGTATGATCAAAGATGAGTCTAAGTTAGCAACGTTTTTGGTTTTATTCGAGAAGGGAACCATCTCGGTTAAGACTAGTCTTTGCCATCTTGTAGATTCAACAGCAGCACCACAAACAGAAGAGGTATGTCACATGCTCGGTCACTCTCAAAAACTAGTGCATGAGATTGTTGTACTTGTTAGCCAAAGTTGTGAGGCTTCCAAGGTTGCAATTAAGGCCTTGTTAGCATTATGTTCCTTGCAATCTAACCGAGAGAATTTGGTGAGGGGAGGAGCAATTGATGGGGTCATAACATACATTTCAGGTTGCGAGACAAGGCAGAAGAATTTGGCACCGTTGGCCATGGCAATAATAAAGAAACTTTTGGTACTAGAGAGTGCTAAAGAGGCTTTGGTGAACCACCCTAAAGGGGTTGAAACTTTGGTGAAGATGGTTTTCAGGGTGTGTAATCAAGAGTGTAGTGAGAGTGCTGTTGGAATACTTTCAATTATTTGTGGTGATTTTGGGCGTGCAAGAGAGGAAGCCATTGGTGCTGGAGTTTTGACTCAGTTGCTGTTTCTTCTGCAGAGTCAGTGTGGCACAAAAACTAAAACAAAGGCAAGAATGCTGCTCAAGTTGCTAAGATCAAAGTGGATTGAAGAACCAAAACATGTGTAGATTGTGAAATGTGAATAATAAGCGTTAATAATCAGTATTTGATGACTCTTGGGGGTCTTGTTGTCTATGTGCAGTATTTGTACTCATATACTTTGTAATCTTTGAATATTATTATCAGGAAATTTAATGCTAAGTTTTGGCCTCATTGTTATCTCTTCACTCTTGTATTAACAAGTGAAAAAAAAAAAATCTTATTATCGGCATGTTCGATTGCAACGTGCCAGGCTTACATTTGATGGAGATGATGAAAGTATGATAATTAACAATCCTTGAATGTTATCTTGTTAATTAACATGAACTTGTAGAGATTTGAAGAAATTTTCTGATCATGGACAATTTCACCTTTCACTTGAGTTAAAAGATAAACTAAAGCAGATGCTCCAAAAGATATAACAGCAAACCAAAAAATGTAGGATAAAGAGCAAAGAGATTATCTAAGTACACGATTAGTATTTCAGTGCGAAAACCTGCGGCATATGCAATTGTGCTCATACGACTCCATTCTCAATGATGCCATGTTTGGCCCATTTTGGTGGAGTTGATTATGAAAACTCCACCGTGGTGAAAGTACACTGATTTACCACAGTAATTTTGCTTTGGATATACTTTTTCTTACTTTATTTTTATCTATAATTGTAAGTGTTTTTTGTTAGACCAATTTTATTGGAACAGGAAATTTTTATAATAAAAATATTAGTGAAACTCTTTATAATACATTTTCTAATACTCTATGTATTATTGATCTTTTGGGTTAGGTTAGTGGTTAGAAGATGAGCTCAATGTATTAAAAGTTGGAAAACTTAAAAGATTATTTTTGTAATATTTTCTAATTTTATAAAAAAAATATTTTAAATCAATTTATAAATTAAATAAGTTGAATTATATATAAATCAAATTTCATTCATTTATTTATCGAGTTTAATTTTGTAATTTAAGTTTATTTCATTTAATTTATGAATCAAATTTAATGATTTAATTTATGAATCAAATTTAATGAAATAATTATCGGATTCGATTTTGAATAATTTTTTTATTTTATTAAAATATTATTTTTGATTTCATTTATTGTCATTTTCAATCCATACACCTGACAAAAATATTAATTCATTATTAATTTTTGTTTCTATTATAAAATATATGACATATTAATTTACCAGATACTTAAAGTGTTGGAGTTATTTATTGTTTGAGGGAGGAATTTTATGAGAGTTATTTTTATAAGGTTATTATAAACACAACTCTACAATGATGAGATATTGTTCGCTTTAGACCTAAGCCCTCACGATTTTATTTTTGGTCATCACCCAAAAAACCTCTTTGTCGTTGAAGTATGTATATGTTATATAAATTATTATTTTTTCTCTTATTTTATCGATGTAGAACTTATTTGTATCCTAATATAAAAAATAATGTCTATTAACATAAATAACAACTACATATACCGTATGAGTTATTTCAGATGTCAAATATGGTAGCGGTAGTCTTAGACAAAATTAAAATAATAAATACTTATACGACTATATGGTTAAATATATACTACAGATCCACAGTAGTTGCAAGACAGACAAATTAAACTACATAATCAAGGGAAAATGTCATGATAATCACGTTAAAAATTGCATTTGATTTGACAAGAAAAGAGTCACTTTCTTGACTATATTGGTGCAAAGAATGATTTTTTTTTTTATAAACTGAAAAAGGAAAGAGGGGTAGGGGGGTGAGATTAATTTGAATGCATAGTCACGAGAACCCACTTTCTCCCAAATGAATATAATTAAGGGCCAACTTAACCTCACAAGTTACATAATCTATGTTGGTAAAATGACGTTTTAACTTAATAATGTAAATTTATTTATATGTGAAAGTAGTGGGGTATGGGTAGATTATGGGGTAGGCATATATATGCATCTCTTTCACCATGATGCATCCATTTCTACGGGCTATTAACCCTATTGGAGACACTTTATCTGAGAAGCAAAATGGAGTCACATCCCCATGATACGAGGCACGTAGAGAGAGGGTGATGATGCGTCTTTTGATTTTTGGGTTTAACCAATTGGGGGCACCAACTAAAATGATTTCAAGGGACAAATTCCTTTTCCAACTTTGTTTATGATCTTTTGGCTTTTCTCTCTTATTTTATCTCCCATCAAAATTCGATTCCACCCTTCTAGCTACTGATTTAACCCAACATGAGAACAACTTTTTCCAAGCAGGCAGGTAAGATATATTATGCATTTTGACCAAAAAAGATATATATGTGCATGACTCAGTGGTGATTGCCCACCTTCTGAAGACTCTAGTGCATCTTTTTGGACAAATAGTGAGAAGCACATGTCCTTGACCCAACCAAACAAATCTTGTGCCAATTCACTAACAAGTTTCTGATGGCTTTTTTTTATATATTTTTTTACCCCCCTTTTTAAATATATATACTATAATTATTTAATAAAACTTAGTAACAAAATATATATGTGATAGGATTAAAAGAAAAAAATTGAGATCATTGTTCACATACAAGTTTGATGGTGATGAGTTCTCTTTATGTGAATATAATTGTAAAACAATGCAAATGGGAAACAGCATCAATGTCGAGTTGTATAGCTGCCAAGTGATGGGACTTGGGTTGTATGGAATCTCCATCTCCTCATGTCCTGTCCTTATAAATGGTACAGAAAAAAGGCCCAAAGAGTTAGGAGATATTGATTGTACTTACTCCCAACTTTATCACATTAATTTATAGAATTCCTTAGTATATAGTATAAATTTGGGAATTGGAAGGTTGAGATTTGTACAATTAGAAAAATAACTTTAGAATATTAAGATCCATAAATTTGTGTTTACTAACTTGTGCCTATAAGTTTACTACTTGGGATTTAAAATTTAGTGAGTGAATCGGTTCAGGAAGAAAATTAGAGGTAAGGACAATTCAATTAAAATATTCAAACAAATAAAAAAAATATATCAAAATGTTCATTAAAAACACTTGGTGCTTGGATCTTGTTACATATTGTATGTTTAACTTAGAGTTTGCAAAATTATTTTAAAATAAATTTTATGTAGAAAACGAATTTTAATTAAAAAATATGTTTGACTTAATTAATTATAATTGACGACATTTATTTAAAAGTAATTTTAACATAATAAATATTATTTAAATAATATTAAAATTACTTTTAATGTATAATTATAAAAAATATAAACTCTTTTTAAGGAAAAAACATATATATATATATACTAAAATAAGACATTGAACCTAAGAACTAATAGAGTGTATAGAATGTCATTT